TAAAGCTTACTGGCACTTACTCACTCGCCTTCTCTAATTTTTGTTTTATGTATAACTTGAAATGCTAGCCTATAATGCAAAATGCGCTAGGCAGCGACTACTGTAATTACTCTACACTTTTTAAATTGAATAAATATATAATGAATGAATGAATATTTTCATTGTCGATGATCACTACTATTCTATCTGATCATAGTCCAAAGATTTTGGAAAGACATTTGGTCCTTCGCACTCGTTGCCATGTTTTAATTTATTCAAAAACTTAATTATTTACTCAAACTGAACAGGTGTTATACAAAATGACTGCATAAAACATTCAAATCATTTTAAAAAGCACATACTGCTTGGAACTGTATTCTTTGCAGTTCAATGCAAAGAAGCTATTTGTCAAACCATTTTTGGCGCTAAATTCAAAACCAATGAAAAAATAGTATCCATCAGATATACATAGGGATTATGTTCCTCCCGAGGGCAAGGGAACACATATTGTATATCCCAAATAATATTTTAATACTCAGTAATGGATGGTGCTGACTGAAGTGGACCACAAAGTCATCCATCTCGTGTGATTTATAACTACAGTGGAAGCATTTGTACCGAGGACCTGAAATACAATGTTTCGATGTGCAGTGGTAACTCGTGATGGCCATATTTTTTTCAGTTTCATTTATTGTTCACAACAAAATGATTCACATGAATGATGCAGATTGTATGTTTATTATTTGTTCATCAGCACGTCATAAACTCGACGATAAAATCGGATCTCAGCAGATTTTACTCAAGTAATGTTCGGATTCTGAGATCCTTTACTCAAGATATTTTCGGATCTTTATTATATTACTCGTCGATCACATCGGGTCCGATGTCCGATAACATCGGATCTTTTGGCACAAAGTTTAAGTGAAGATTTTGCTGTTCAAAAGTGCTATTTTGACCTAATATTTTGACACTTAATATATTATGCATATGGACATCCATTTACCGACCCAAGTATGTCTTATGTATGGCTCATTATCAATTAAAGCGAGTATGAATGAGAAAAACAAATCGAAAACCATTATACGTTTAACTTATCTCTTAATTTGGACATAAAAATATATTTCAACTATAATTCTAGGCCAAATGCGCCTGCTAGAACATCTTAGTAACAATTCTAACCATCCAAAGGAATTGATAGTGACATTATATTACCTTTATTGTCCATTTTCCTACGAGATGACATTATCAAACATTTGCTTGGCGGTATATGCGTGTCTTGCTCGGCGGTAGGTTGTATATACACGGGTACTCTTTCCCCTCGTGCATTGTAGTAATCATTAAGCGGCTGTGTTCTGTGTAGGTGCATTAGCCCGTCCCCTCCCTCTGAGGAGCATGGGGCAAAACGGCCCTCATAATAATTTGATCCGTGCAGAGGTTTTTCTAATCTGTCAATCATCGCAGTGCACTTTGATGTTCCATTTTATCAAGGAAGGAATTGTATTTCACATTTTCTGTGATTTTTCAGAGTGGTCGAAAATAATGTTGAAAGAAGGGCAAAATGGCCCATGGTTGGGGCAGAACAGCCCACAATCAAAGCTTCGGTTTTAAAACCAAGATTAATTAACTACAGGACTCGTCAACACACATTTATCTCAGACTGTCGTCAAAGATTAGACGGATAAAGTATTCTTAGGCCTTACCGTAATAGTAGTCATTTGATGTTTTGAAATAAAAACAAAGTGTTCAAATCAAGATGATTAATTGTTATTTTCCTGTATATAAACAGTTAATCCTACAAGCCGTAAGAGGGGCGACATTTTAGTTAAGTTATCATCTAAAACTTTTTACAGGCAAAGGGTAGCATCTTCAAATTATCAGTACCTGAAGCTACAGACATAGCAAGTTTTCTGTAAAATCAAAGTATCTTGTTAATGAAATAAAATTTTTATCTTGATTTTTATCTATTTTGGGGGATTCTGCTTGAATACTTTTGAATACTTTTTAATTTTTTGAATACTTTTTTAAAATCAACCAAAAATTCCTTTGTATAACTTTAATATTGAGAGGTCTAAAACATGTTTATGCTATTTTGTTCCAACAAGGTTCGGAAAAACGTATTATTTCATTCTCAAGAATTGGTAGAAAGGAACAAAAACATAGGCACTAAAAAACAAAAAGTGTTAACAAAAACAGTTATATAAAATATATATAAATAATTATTGCATTAAATTGTCGCCAATCAGTCAACATTACATGTAATAAAGGACCGTGTTTTCAATAATTGGTTTAAGAGAAAAACATTGTTGAATTTAGTTCGCCATATCGATACCTATCCTTTGAAATTGTATTGTGACTTGTATTGAGATATGCTCCGGACAGACAACCGGACTGACGGACGAGCTTCACTATATCCCTACTGGACTTCCGATCGTCGGGGTTATGAAAAACGGAAAACAGCTAAATCAGTAGCAAGATGCCCGAAAACTGAAAAAATCTTGGTTTAACCTGATTTTATTGAGATGATTGAAGTAGGCAGAGAAGAGATTCTCGTGTGTCTGTATTTCCAGGGCACCATTGGATGAATGAGGTTGTCAATATGCTACAACATGGCACAAAGTGAGAAAAAATAATATACTTATATAATTATACTATGAACCCCTTCCCTGAGATAGAAAACTTCGTTTAGTTCGATGCAAATTTTAAGAATAAAAATTCTTCAATATAACCTTAATGTAATATTGTCGGTTTATTTGCATGCTTTGCACAATCAACTATTATATAAAACAATGATAGGAGGTAAACTTTTCATGTTAGATGATTGATTCCAGGACGTTTTCACTAAAGGGTGCAAGATGTTCTACATGTACAGAAATCCAAAGGATGTGGCAGTATCATACCTCCACCACATGGAGGCATTCCACTACGCATATTGTTTTAATGGTGGATGGACTGAATACTTTGACATGATGCTGAACGGACCGCGTGAGTCAAGTCCTTCTATGACTTGCTATGACTAATATTCCTTTTGTTCTCTTTCTGTATGTTCCGACTTCTCAATTTCCTTGCAGTGTGTTTAATAATTATTCGTTGAACTATAGATGAATATGGTCGATGGCTTGATTCTGTCCCTGACTGGTTAGAGAAGATATCAGGGAACCCAAACATTTTGGTCATTAGCTATGAGGATTTGAAAAAGGTAGTTTAAAATGCATCCTCTACTCGTCAGACCATTAGCCAACTTTGCTAAGGAAGAAATGCGTCAGTTTTTAAAGAATTTCAGAATGAACAGTTCCGAAAGACACCACTTGTTTGGAAACACATGGATGGATCATCTAATCAAGATATTTTAGGAATGGTAGTCATAAAGGTGTGAGGACAGTTCTCATTTAGTACATTTACCATTTATGGCAAATTGGACAACTTTTTCAGCAGCCAATTTCGAAAATGTCCAGTGGTTATTGATCATGAAAAGTAGGTCAACGTTAGAAAAATTGGCCTTACAAGGAATGGTGATCTTGTATTTGCAATGTGGGGACATTAAAATACAGCATTTTGACTATACTACTGCAATATTTAAGATGTTTTAAAATAAAACGAATACCTAAGGTCTATATAGTGTGTTTTAATTTGGAATTCGTGGTTCTAAATTCCAAAGTCTCTCATGAGTATTCAACTCTGATGTTTATACGTAAAAAGCCACACAAACACCGAGCCATCGTTTTATCATCACTAATTTCACAATATTAGAACTATTCTTTAAAACCAAGTTCTGTTTTGACCTCCAGTCAATTCAAATAATTCCTCATATCATTTACAGGACAAGGATCACAATGTACATGGTCAGAATTTTTGAAAATGTGACATCATTCGTAGAAAAGAAACAAATGAAAAAACTGAATTGAAAGGCGATCTATTTTCCTTTTTATGACCGCCATTTTTGTTTCAGACAATTTTCTTAAATTTCGAAGATTGTATCAGTTAGAGCCATATATTGGGTACATTTTCCGAAAAATTCATAAGATTCTGTTCAGTTACCTTTCCCGAGGGCTACTTTTAGCTATTATTCAGTCATATGTTTAGTGGTCTGAAAAAATGATTTCTTCATGTTTGTAATCCTGGTCATGTAAATGATATGTGGAACTACAGTACAGCTGCACCTTAACTTTGTATTTTTCCAAAACATCACTAAATATGAAAAGGTTGCAAATAAAGTGGATCCTTGTGTGAGCCTTATAATTATTTACTTTGCCAAAAATGAATATAATGGTAATTAACATAATTTAAAAACATTGAATAGGTAAAATAGGAATATTATCATTAACAACAACGACCGTTGAGCCTTTTCGTGCCACCTTTTTGAGTGCAGACAAGTAAAAATGAATAGTTGATGGACCAATCTATAATGATAATGGGTCACTTCATAGTAAGCTACCCACACATAGGTTTTTGTGATTTTCTGGAGTTTTAGCACACGCTAAATAAATGTCAATTATGTGTTTGTCGAAATCACTTGTTTTTAGCATGGGCGATAACCCTGTGACTAGATGACCTTCAAGTATACTTTCCCGAGTTAAAAAATGCGTTGCTGGAATCAACCACATGGAGCCAAATTTCCGACGTGTGAGCCAGTATATAATATTGTTACGGCTCTGTAAATTAAGGAACTGAGCTGGTATTTCAACTTCATAGTATAGCAACACTTTAGTCCTACTTTAACGGAGCAATACATATCTTCAGCATGTTGACGTTTAAAAACGGAAACGAAGCAAGAAGTCAAATAACCTTCATAAAAGCTACTGCGTTTTGAAGTTATTAAAGTATGATGTCATTTTTGAAGACAAAATATATAAATTAATTTATGATTATATCTTTTCGAGACATGCCATACAACTTTTCGACTATCGCAAAAATGTTTGCACCAGCGTACATCCTTAAAGCCTGCAAGCATAATATAGAAAAGTCAAATATCCGATAACTGTCCATTGGGTCCAATGAAAAGTGGCTTGAAAGTCGAACAACAGATGAGATATCAGTGAAGCAAAACCGTGAACTATTTCTGAATTTCTGAGTGATGCATTCGCGTTCGAACACATGGTAAATGCCGATTTGAGTGTTGAGCTGCCATTCGGGAGTTACAGGTGAACTGTGAAGAAGTGCATAAGCAACAGAGCAAGAACACGTTTGCTGTGAATACGAAGATATGTAAGTAGATAGCACATGCAGTTTATGCAATCCCCTTTTGACACATCGACACAATAAATTGGTTGAGAATCTTCACCTACTGTCTGTTACACTGCTTCAACGCTACCAGTTGAACCACAAAATGAGAAATCTCTAGATTATTGTGCAATAATAATATGCAATGGGACTTTTTGTAAAATGAAATATACTGTAGGCATATTTCGATTAAGGTGCTATGGAAGTTAAGGTTCAGCTGGAAAGTAACATTTTGGTAAAAAATTGCTATACCTGCACATGTTATTTTCTGGTACAAAATTAAGTATGAAGGCATGTGTGTATTTCCTTGCTTTTTTCAGGAAAGTATCATTACACTGTCTACTTTTAGTAAACCTGGAAACAGGTCAATGGGAGCTCCTGTGTTGTCTGGAAACTTTGAAAGAAAATTTGGAAAAATAGAAAGTGTGAAATATCAGAATTTCCTGGAGTTCCCATTGAACTTCTACTAGATATTCTTAAAGAAGACAATGTAATGATACTTTCCTGAAAAAAGCAAGGCAATTGACACATGTCTTCATACTTTATTTTGTACCAGAAAATAACATGTGCTGGTATAGCAACTTTTTACCAAAATGTTACTTTCCAGCTGTACCTTAACAGGAAATGACAAACAGGAAGTGACAAAATCTTTTGCATTTTTAGACATTTTTTGAACAAAGATAACAGAGTTCTGGTTTGACCTCCAGTCAATTTAACTATTTCCACATATCATTTACATGACCAGTACCACAATGTGCATGGTCAGAATGACCCTAAACATAATGAAATAACCTTTTAGCCCTTTGAAAGTGTGACTGAGAAAAAGCTAAAAGTAGGAGCTACACAGGGAAGGTCACTGAACAGATTCTTTTGAATTTTTCAGAAAATGTGCCCAATATAATGCTCTAACTGTTACAATCTTTGACATTTTTAAAAATTGTCTTAAACAAAAATGGCGGTCATAAAAAGGAAAAAAGTTCGCTTTTCAACTCGGTGTTTTCATTTTTTTCTTTTTCTATGAATGATACTATAGTCAAAACAGTAATGTTTGTGACTACTTTGAATTTAAAAAATAATCAATCAAATGACCATATTGAAACAGTTTATGTAAAAATAGAAACATTTATATTTATCCTAACTTTTGTATATTTTAGTTTGTTTTATAGTTTAGCTATCAACTTTGTGTCCTCTTATATTTTGATACTTCTCTGCCATGTTATTTTTGGAAAAGTTAACATGGCTGAAACTCCCTAAATTACAAAAGGCCACAGCTTTGCTGCACACAGCACATTATACATTACTATCTGAAATATACAAAAGTTAGGATAAATATAAATGTTTCTATTTTTACATAAACTGTTTCAATAATGTCATTTGATTACTTATTTTTTAAAGTCAAAGTACTCACAAACATTACTGTTTTGACTATACATTTTCAAAGATGTATCATTTAAAACAATATATTGGGCACATTTTCTGAAAAATTCAAAAGATTCTGTTCAGTGACCTTTCCTACCTTTTACTTTTAGCTATTTTTCAGTCACATTTTCAAAGGGCTAAAAAGGTCATTTCATCATGTTTAGGGTCATTCTGACCATGAACATTGTGATCCTGTACCTGTAAATGGTATTTGGAACTAACTGAATTGACTGGAGATCAAAACAGAACTCTGTTATCTTTGTTCAAAAAATGTCTAAAAATGCAAAAAAAGTTGTCATTTCCTGTTTTGTCATTTCCTGTTAACCTCCATAGCATCTTTAGGCTCAGCAAGAAAGTAACATTTTGGTAAAAATTGCAATACCTGCACATGTTATTTTCTGGTACAAAATTAAGTATGAAGGCATGTGTGTATTTCCTTGCTTTTTTCAGGAAAGTACCCTTACACTGTCTACTTTTAGTAAACATGGAAACGGGTCAATGGTAGCTCCTGTGTTGTCTGAAAACTTTAATTTGAAAGAAAATTTGAAAAAATAGAAAGTGTGAAACATCAGAATTGCCTGGAGTTCCCATTGAACTCCTACCAAATATTCTAAAAGAAGACACTGTAATGATACTTTCCTGAAAAAAGCAAGGAAATGGCACATGCCTTCATACTTTATTTTGTACCAGAAAAATAACATGTGCAGGTATATTATAGCAATTTTTACCAAAATGTTATTTTCCAGCTGTACCTAAAATTCTAAATTACTAAGCGTAATGATATGTCAGATTCGCTAGTTTAGTTTTCATAAATGTAATGGTGAAACGAAAGAAAAAATTGCTATACTTGCACTTGTTATTTTCTGGTACAAAATAAAGTATGAATGCATCTATGTATTTCATTGCTTTTATCAGGAAACATCGTTTCATTGTCTAAATATCTGGTAAGAGGTCAATGGCAGCCCAGGGTTGTTAAGGAACTTGGAGAGGAAATTTGGAAAATTGAAAAACCATAATTTTCCTGAAATATCAGTAATTGACAATTGATTTCTTACCAGGTCTTACCAAATCGTTGGTTTTTCAAAAACGAAAGAATTCTGTCCACCATTTTAAATAACACTGACTGCAGTTAGTCATCCAGCTGTGGAACTACCATAAACACGATAACATTAATTGCCGAAACACTTTACAGCAAGTTGTACCCAGGCAAGTAACCACTTTTGAAAGTGCATTTTTCTTCAACCTTAGCTCACCCGTTAATTATTATCTCAAAGTCAAACAAATCATAAATCATAGCGATGGAGAACAGATAATTATATTTTGAAGTAATATTCTTCGGAATTTCCAGATTCTTTATCCAACCGTCGAATCATTGATTAGCATGAAAATGGCAACAAAACGATTCGTGCTAGCGGTGTGTGTAATAGCGTTCATCAGTCCCATCATCAGTCTTCCTATGGATTCCAGCATTGCTGAGAACAGGGTTGAAATGCTTGGACGATTGTTGGAGGAACCCGGGCTTTCCCAACAACAGAAAGTTGGAGTGTTGAAACTTCTGTACAGTTTGAAGGTACGTTTGTGTCATTTACTAACTTTGAAATCAAATTTTGGATTTTCTCGCATAGTCTGAAATACTGATATTTAAACAATAGCTCACCGTGTGAGCTAAAATCATTAAGAATGACCGCTTTCTCAATTTTGTAATAAGTTTCCCAATAACGTGCGGTTGCCTATACTGCATTTTAAATTCGACTAACGCAAGATGCAACATTATAGTAAAATTTTAAATGTTTGTGAGTACTTTGAATTTAGAAAATAAGCAATCAAAGGACCATATTGAAGCAGTATATGTAAAAATAGAAACATTTGTATTTATCCTAACTTTTGTTTATTTTAGTTTGTTTTTAGTTTAGCTATCAAATGTGTGGCCTCTTATATTTTGTTGTCTCTCTGCCATGTTATTTTCGGAAAAATGAACATTGCTGAAATTCCCTAAATTACAGAAGGCCAGAGCTTTGGTGCACATTATACATAACTATCTGAAATATACAAAAGTTAGGATAACTATAAATGTTTCTATTTTTGCATAAACTGTTTCAATATGGTCCTTTGATTGCTTATTTCTTTTACCCAAAGTACTCACAAACATTTAAAATTTTACTGTAAAACAAATTGTGAATTATTTTTTTAATCTCTTGAAATAGATTTTCAAATGATTCCTCTGGTTTGCATCCTATGGTATAATCGGTAATGATTACATTGTCTAATGTGACTATTCTTTTGATAATTCTTGGGGACAACTTGTATCGTCCTATAATGGCCAGTGCTCTGTGAAGCCTCCGTCTCCTATATTAATACTACAATTCATGATCAGATGATACACATGAGACCTAAATCAGATAAAAACAATAAGGATCAATTAATAAGTGTTCATATATTTAAGGAGGATCCATCTCAAGAGCTTCTCAAACTCCTAAAGGACAACAATCTTGAAGGTTTGCTCGATGACGGTGACATCACTAATGACGATGACATCACTAATGACGATGACATCATTAATGACGATGACATCACTAATGACGATGCCATCACTGATGACGATTCTTATGAGAAGGTCTTAAATGTAGATAAAGAAGTTACAATCGCCATAGCAAATGATGTAGTCGATCAAGTTAAGCAAGCTATAAAAGATGACGCAAAGCAAAATCAGGAGGGTAAAACCAACCAGCCAGAGGTCTTAATGAAAAAGTCGAACACCTATAAACCTGAAGATCTCTACCCTGTGGATAACGATGTGAACGACAAACGAGTTATGAATACTATGGAACACATTGCAGGTATGAACATTCTTGTGTCTTCTATGTTGTGTCGAGGTTTTAAAAATGGTATTCCGTTTTTCATTAAAACTAAGTCCTCGCTTCTTTAAGTTAATCAATGGTAATTAAACGGACTTTAAATTGTTGCGTTCATTTGGGCAAGGCACCTTTTCATCAAATCTAGATTACAACTTGTATCAATGACCACTGGGAAGAGAACTTCAATCGCTGGTGTCAAAGTGTATAAGCTAGTGTATAAATGACACGTTATGATTGTAGCCCTTGTTAAGTGGTGTGAGGGAATGAACGAGCTTGCCGCAGCAACAGTTATTACCACAGAAGCATTAGGCTCGAAAGAAATGGGTGAATATATAGGAGGCGCTGCAAACATGGTTGAACGTGAAGTGGTTGCGAACGATAATTCCAAGGGTATGTATTATGATACTTTCAGGATGACGTATTGACTAAATCCGTGCAGTGTCCGATGTTAAAGTAGCACGATTATTATGTAATTGTCGTATATGGTCACCTGGTCCTTGTACCATTTGTCCATATTGGAATCATTGAATGATTTTATTTTACAACAATATGAGCACTATTGGGATGTTTAAATCATGTTTATTATGGTGGTTTAGTTTTACCGTTATGGTCGATAGACATCAACGCGTATGGCATTATTTTTGCTTTATTTGTTAAATCATCGACATATGGAATATATATTCGCTAAATCAAATTTCCATTCGGTAAAGACATTTATATATTTGTTCACAGCGAATTCAGTTTTCAAAAAAGCCAATGTATTAAATCACTTAATACTATGTGCATTAGGTTACATATTTTATTTACTAAATGATATATTGCGTAAACTGTTATCGTATTCCTTATAGAGTAACACATATATGCACAATATCAAATCTCAATTTTAACCCTTACCGAAATAAGTTTTTCTATCTTTACCAAATGGTTTATTTTGCAATAACATAGTATTGCTTAATGCATTTTACCGAAAGCTCATCTGCTGTTTACCGAATGCAATAACGCAATATTCGATAACTTTCGTCGTTGTTCGATATTTTGTCACATGACCTCGAGTTTTGCAAAATGGCCGCGCAGCTTTTCAACATCGTTTGCATATATCACGTGAATGAAAGTTTCGTTAAGTATCGAAAAATAACGAAATTTATCGAATGTGGCATTCGGTATTCAACGAATATAAATAAGTTTAATACCTAATGTTTAAATATATCAATTGAACTATATGTGCGCTAGGGAAAACAAATTGAATCGCTGCATCACACAAATACATGTTTAAATATTAAATGTAAATGCCAATACAATGTACAAGTGAAACTGTTCTGCGAATATAAATTGAAAATATTATTATATTCGATAAAATAAGACATTCGATAGATTTGGTAAGGTTTGGTATATTGTTTGTTTTATTTGGTATATATCGAATATTTAATGTGCCGAATAAAGAAACAGTTTAAACACCATAAACGCGTCCCTTTCTTTCTCAAAGGTGCACGTAAGATATGGCAAGCCATTTTCAAAGGTCTATATCTTTAGTTCTAAGAATGCTTTATCCACAAAAACAAATGGTTCTGTTAGATCCATGTCTCGTCTTCAATAAATGACACTAGGATGATAATCAAGTTGATTGGATTATCTCTTAAGCTGTCCATAATCCACCCATCCTCACCAATTTTCCCTAATTCTGATGCAATTTTCACAAAAAATGCAGGCATTTTTTCATTAAAACGCAATTATAGATTTTTGAAAAAAAATTCAAAATATTCCAGACCCCCATTATTTACCCGTCTCAATTGGACATGAACCATGTTTCATTGCATGGACAAATTCACTGTGTTCTCTTTTATTTTTAGCTGTACAGATCCAAAATTGAATTAGGCAACATTTTCATTTGCAAAAAAGGGGTAGAGAACACAGCTCATATAGTTTTTTGGACTTCTATGGTATTATTTCTAAAACATTTCTGCCACCATTTTGGATACAATGCCACCTATCAAAACGTACCGCTGTGTTGGATGTGATAAACAGTGTCCAGCTGTCTCTAGGAGAAAAGTCACTAAATCTAACACTCTTGGCAAATAATGGAAAGAAAAATATCACAAAGATCCCCCTGATAATTCAGGTATATGTTACAAATGCCGGATTACACTCACAGGACCCCAAAACATTCCTCGTAACCCTCCCCAACCAGCAGATGAAGGTGAAAAAACAGATAATCCATCTATGAAGATACAAATCCCCTTTCTCATGACTACAAAGTCTAAGAAGAGGTGCATTGTTTGTGACAAGCAGATTAAATCTCAATGAAACTTTTTATATTTCCATCCTGCTTTTACTTAAACTATTTTTGACAGGAGTTAATTTATTTTATTTTTTTATTAAGTTATTCATTTGTACAAAGAATACAATACAAAAATACAGTGTGAGTGGCTGTGCTTTTAGCATTATTAGCCACGTTCTACATTTTACAATGTACAATGTATTCAATCAATACTATTGATTAAAATAAATGAGATACAATAAGATAAAAATTGTTTTGTGGAGGATTTCAGACATTTACACATCGCTCGAAGAAAATGGCACTGCACTTTAAAACAATCAGATTCTCAGCTCTACTTAATGTTTTATCACCATTGAGGATCAGAGAAAGTTTATCACGTTGTGTCTTATATTTACGGGAGTATTGTATATTCATATTTTTTAGTTGGTTTTCTAATTCAGTCCAGAATGTTAATCTCAAGTTACATCGAAAAATCACATGGCTGGTTGTTTCACTGTTAATACCACATGAGCAGATTGGGGAATTTACATTGGTAAAGTTATGCGAGTAAAGGTGAGCCTTGAAAATGAAATCACATCGTACTCTGTTAAATATAATTTCTTGATTTCTTGAGATGGACAATTCTTATGAGTTAATAACAGTTTCGTTAAAGATATTGCTTTTAAGGCTTGATTTAAATATGCTTAAGCTAGATGAGTTCTTTATATCAGATGAGAGTAGATTCCATTCTGATATTGTTTTTGAGATACAAGATCTTTCACAAAATTTGGATTTAACTTCGTTCATGTGTTTGATTTCTTTTTAGTGGTTCAAATATCTCAGTGACATAAGAAGGCAGCAAGTTGTTGTGAGCTCTATACATAAAGGTAGCTCTATGATATTGACGTCTATTTGAGAGTGTGGGCCAATTTAAAGTATTCAACACTTTTGTGGCTGATGTTCCATGCATGGCACCTGAACAAATAATTGCAGCTTTATAGTAAAGGCGGTCTAAAAGTTGTAGTTTTGTCAAATTTGCACATCCGTAAAGAATGTCACAATAATCAAAGAGTGGCAAAATAAAAGAATTAAAAATTGTTTCAAGGTGTTTTCCACTTATTTTCTTACTGAAGACTTTTAACGGATTTATGAGTTTATCTATTCTTGCTACAAGTTCAGTAATGTGATAGTCAAAAGTGAGATTTTTGTCCAAAATCAAGCCCAAGTGCTTGTGATTGTTTACTCTTGGTAACTTGTCATTACCAAGGGAAAGATCTGGGGTCAAAATTTCGCGCTTTCTTGGATTAAAAAAAGTCATATCTTTACTTTTACTGGCTTTGAAGTTTAATTTCCATGTATTTGACCATAAGAGAATTTTATTTAGATCCTCTTGTAATTCATTGTTCTTATCAGCTGCTGTTTCAGCTGTGAAGGATTGGTAAAGTGACGTGTCGTCTGCATATATAAAACATTTGGTATTTAAGTTATCAGGTAAATCATTGATATAAATTAGAAACAGGAGGGGGGCTAATATGGAGCCTTGAGGTACTCCTGCGTTTATATGGTTCATCTCAGATAGTTCAGACTCTTGGCCATCCAATAAAACTTTCACTTGTCTATGTGATAGGTACGATTTCAAGGAGTTGATCAGTATAATAAGTGACCAAATATGTGTACAATTATTGATATATCCATCAAACATTAGAGGTCGGGTCAAAATATCGATGTCCGTCAAAAAACGTAATTAATTTCGTTAGGGGGAGGGGTCAAACCCTGATTTCATTAGGTGACAGACATCAATTATAGTTTTCCCGGGAATTTCAATTTCCTGGTTTCGTTACAAGGGGGGGGGGGAGTTAGACCTAATGAAATTAATTACGTTTTTTGACGGACATCGATATTTTGACCCGACCCCTTAGAAACTATACATTCAACTTTCAGCAACTGTACCTATTGGTACCCATAGACATTCAATAAATAGTAATATGTTGTATGAAAGCTTTAGAATATTAATATCAAATATATTACAATACAATTTTTGACAGTATACCAGTACACATGTATTTTGACTAAAAAATGTTCAAACATTTTCCTTTTGTTAAGTATGGTGAAAACACTACTCAAAGGCTTTTAAGATACCTATTCCCCATGGAAATAAATGTTTAAGGAAATTACTTGATCATTAGATTGACTTCACCAAATTGACCTTTTTGCACCCAGTGACCTCATTGGCTCATCATTTGACCTAATTTTGAAATATTATTGTGAAGTACATTTGTGAGGATACTCTAGATGCAAAATAAGTTTGATTCTGATGGGGGCAGAAAAGGGGGTCTGTTGGGACGATACCTTTCTAAAATGATCCTGCAATGAGAGTGACATAATAGTAAAATCAAACAATTAAATCACGAGAAAATGGAAGATTTCATACATTAAACAATAAGCAAATCTGATGAAGAATGTGTAAATTCAACAATTTCATGCATTATCACATGGCATTGTAGTCCATGGTATGACTTCCGAATATGAAGGATCCGTAGCACACTATAGCACACTATAGCACACTATAGCGCAGCAACATTTGAAGCAATATTTATGAAGATGTACATGTCTTGATTCTTTTAAAATACCATTTGCTGAAAAAACTTCCGGCTTTCGGGTCGAAAAATGACTTACATCACAAGGGGTCAAAAAACGTAAATATTTTGATTCGAACTTTTATACATTTTATAAGACACAAACCGTTATTCTAAGCGTACGAACAAAAAAAGATTATCATAATGTAAAAATATACTATAAATTTACTGTAGATGTCGGTGTTTAATTAGTGTCGCGCAAGTGTGTTTTTCAGATTTTGTTTGATTTTTCAAATATTAGCCAGGCAGATTCAACAAAATTGTGTGGACTTTTTAGGTAATTTATGATTGGGAACATATTACTTTTCTTACCATTTAAAACATTTTATTACCAGATTTTTTCCATATAATCGCACGGAGTCTAAAACAAATTATTGGACATGTTTTATAAAACATAATACAATAACAAATAGGTAAGATTTATTTCTAATTAAATGTTACAGAAGTATTGGAATGCTCATATATTCCAAGGGCATGTCGAATAATCATTTAGAGTCATATGCAATCGAACGCCTTACAATTCTTTCTCGGCGTTACTTGTGGCTAACATAAAGTTTTCTAATGATTGTTTCTTCTTTGACCTTACCGCTGGATATAATCAAATATTTAGGAAGATAATGATAACGATTTTTCTCAAATATTCATGAATTCGACCAAGTCTTGATGGTTGCTTTATAAGCAACTGAGCTATATCTAACTACGAGAAATAGAATTTTAGCTGTAGTCCCAATTAGTCAAGGAAGAGCAATAGGCCATCCTTTATTGATAATGTTCACCGCTGAATAAAAGTCTATATCTCAAAACGTATTGAGACCCATTTTGTGAAAAACTAGCATGATTTAAGCATTTATCATTCTAATATAAAAGTGATTCATTTGTAGCATTTATCTTATTAATACCTGAGAAACAATACAAAACGTCGATAAATTGATTACATAGAACCGAAGTTCAATACCGGGGCATATTTCAAATTTTGACGTGCCATATTCTTACCATGTAAATATCTGGAAAGTTCGGAAAGCGAACATACTCATGTTATATATCAAAATCTTCGTATAGGTACCCTCTAAAACCTCATTTGTATATTTTACATGGAATTTTTCATTTTAGAGCATTTTAGAGCGTCCTTCGTTGGTCAAAACGTTAGAAATATGCCGTCACGCGTAACATTTTAGGAGCGCGCTATTTTTCGAAATGATTCAGAATCATTATTTTTTCATCAATTTTGATGAGACAGGTATGAATCACTTCCTGACACAATGATCTTTATAATGACGTCATTAGTTTTAAGGTAACAATGGAATGTGACGCTGATTTTTCAACTTCAAACAAAATCCAAAAGCCGTCACGCTGGGTATTTTGACGACCCCTAGGAAAGCAAAATGCCATTTATTTTAGAATTAATTACTTTTAAGGCTGAAATTAAAATTAGAAACAAGGTTTTGGCTAAAATTAATAAATCTGAAGAAAAAATATTAAATTTCCTTCAAATTTCTTAAATATCAAATGATATGTAGGGTACGAAAAATGTCCCATTTAGTATTTTTAGCTTAAAAATGCGTAAACTTGAAATCCAGCCATCACGTGCACGCATTAAAATTAAGAAATATATCAAAATAAAAACATTTTAGAAATAGGTTTTTAATATATTTTGATCGTGGAAAATTTCAAACATTTTCAAACATGATAACTTGTCAAACGATGCGAAAGAAAAAGGTACAAAAATGTCCCATGTAGCTTTTTGACGTCTTTTCATTGAGAATTCTACAGAAAAGCACAATTGTTCATCACTCGTGACGTTACAAAGTATTGATAAAAAAAATAACCTCAAACTTATAGCTTAGAAATCTAAATCATATATCTAAAATCATTTTGTATCATTTTCTGTTGCATTGTGTACTCCAAATTGTGAAAAATTGGGATTTTATTTTTTGGTAATTTTTTGACCTCTGTTAATGGCAGGCATAATTCAGCCTAAAAGCCGGAAGTATATTAAACGGTTATAATAAAAATTATTAGGGAACATATGTAGGTATGTTAATGTTAGGTCAAATATCGCTGAGCTATAGTGTGCTACCAGCTCCTTAATTAGACGTCCTAGAGATTTCATACCATGGACTATTGTTTAATCGCATCAATGAATTTGTTCGACCACTTAAATTCTATGCAGATCGAATGAGAAATGTTTGTTGTTACTATTTTAATAATATTTTGTTACTATTTTTAAGTTTAATGAATGATATTTGATCTACAAATGACATAATTTGTTGCATAAAAACATACGTTTTCGAATCTTCTGCCATTTATAGATTACGTGTCGCAAACCCTATAACTTAGGTAAGGTACCGCTTGGTGTAATAAAAACCTACGTGTAGGTATAGGTAAATGGGTTATTAACGATAATCTTAAACTCCCTAATACCAGATTAATCGTTATTTAGGTCAGCTATTGCTTTTGAGGCGAAAGCTGGCAACCAACGCGATGCACGACAGGAACTATTCATATTTAAATGAGTTTAATTGCCATCTAATGTAAATCAACCCGGTAGCCGATAGCCGCTATTTGCATTCGCGAATACAAACCAAGATTCATCCATCGTAACCCCGTGCAGGATATGGAGGTTCTTTGTCTTGTTATTTTGAGTCTGAGCAAGATTGTGCATTCTTGATAAGCTTTAATATGTCATCTTTATTATCAAGTCGAACACGAGGTGGTGCAGAAATATAAGTTTTCTCATACGACTCTGTATTATGTCCTATTTTTAACTATTTTAACTTTTTTAGATAAAACGGAGAGAAATATAACTTCAAATTACTAGTAACTTCTATATCTTAAACTTAGTTTGATTTTCTTTAAAGTACGTCAAAACTTCATACTTAGTAAGTTAATATCACTGTCCATTTATATTTGGCCTCATTTTGCTTAAACTTTCATTTTCAATTTCACAGAGAGTGCAGTTGTTGGGGGTGGAAGCGAAAAAGACGAAGATCCCGGCAACAAAGATGAAGACGACATTGGAATAGACGAGGTCTCGGAAAAAATGCAAGAAATATGTCAAGCTTTGCACAGCCTTGAAATCATTGGCGCTCAAGTAAGTACTTTATTAAGGACTATAATTCATAAACAAAGTTCGTATGGAGAATCTGCCCATCCATCCATTCGTTCCTACCGCGTATCCGGGCAATAACTCAAAAATCGGTTATTTGATTGAAATTTACAGGCCTATGCCTTATGGGTCTATGACTTGTCATTGGGAAAGAATTTTCATTTTCGCCAACATTTTTCTTGAAATGCATCTTTAATTTAAATACCTGTTTATATTGGATGAGCGTGGTGTAAAAGTGGTTTTGAAAAATAGCAAATTTCTCTTTATGTAGGTAATTTGTAGTTTATGATTCTACATTGATTCTAAAAATATTGGTGTCTAGTTTTTCATCGTTTTGGAAATATTTAGATTTATACACCCCTCAAAAGTACATAAGTACCTGAGTCATAAAGGAGGGCGAGTTGTTTGTAGAATGAATCGGGTTTTTTTTCATGAATTTCGCTTATGTTTTTCATCCAAAAAACATCAATACACTTTAAAACATTTTGTTTACTTTAAGATTACACCATGTAATCCAAAAATATATTTCTCATTTTCAAAGATAATCCATGGATTAACACCCAGGTATTTTTATTTTTCAATCTTCAGAGGGCTGGGAATCAATGATGCTCAACGCTTTTGAATACGATAAATGCTGTTTTAAAAAGGTTTTACGTATGCCAATAATTTCTCAAATTATGTAAGCTGAATGCATTCCTTAATCCCTAGAATGCCTATCATAATAACATTCTTTTGTCTTGGCCACTTAATATGTTTTGTTGCTGTCTGATCATCAAATCAAATTGTTGTTATTTAAAGATGTCAGTCAAATCTGGTGAAACAGCACAACATTTACCTAAATAGCACGAGTACATATTATGTAACTCATCCATAATATTTCATGCATCAGGTATTAAGGCTTAGGGGATTAACGTTTACACATAAACTGAACTGACAGATGTGTATGCTTACATGTACAACTTCCAGGATTGTAAGAATTCAAAACTTGTTGATAGCCATATTTTCCTGAATGTGACATCGAGATATTATGGCATTTATGAGTGGTAAAACATGAAAAAAAGCATTTTCATTTAAAATTAGCATATGATTTGAATTGATGCCAAGAAATGTATTAGTTAACTGTATCCATTTTACATCCATTGCAGTTGGCTACATTATAAGACAAGGCATTCACATGCAAAATGTCAACACCTGCCATTTGTTACAGACACCAACTGCCAAACACCAACTGCCAAATGATAAACACCAACCACTGAACACCGTCCACAAAAAAGTTTGAGACCATAACAATATGTCACCACTTGTGGTGGTGACATAAAAATGATCATGGAAAATTGTATTTTAAAAAAAAAGTAGGAACTTCTGAGGTTATTAGAAAATTGGAAAACAAGGAAGGATTCTGGCTTTAAGATATTAGGGTTATAAATTGCAATGAAACTAAAACAAAACATTCTTTTTCTCAAATATCACAGTGTATATTCAAATCACAAATACGATATCATACAATTACAATAAGGGTCTAGTGCACTTTCCATTATGATATCCCCATGAACAAAATGAATCAATTTTATGTGTAACATAAAGAATACAATGTCACATAATACTGTGGAAAATATTTGAGGGTTTGGACCCACATGTGCTGAGGTTGAGGTCATTTAGTTCAGCAAGGGTGTATTGACTTGCCATTGAATGGGCTCCATTAACTTAACATGTGGATATCATCAATTCCAATAGAGGCCATTGGTTTCTATTGATTTTCACAAAAATACCTAACATACACTATGACCTGAATCGATTGCAAATTAAATAATTTCACAGTATGACACAAATGGTATATCACATCAGATGTGCAAATATAAAGTTTGCAATCGATTCAGGTCATACTTCAAATTAAAAGATTATACATTTTTTCCATCATTTTTTTCCTACAAAATGGCTATAGAAAAATGCTTCAAAAGCAACTTTTACACTAATGAAATCCCATACAACTTTGTAAATCCAAAGATTATACTGTTATGTTTCATTAATTAATAACATATTTGGATAATATGTTGGGATGTGTAGGATGCAAATGGATTTTGACAGACACAAAAATACTTCTTGGTTTGGCATCTCTACCCCTGTACACTTTATGATTGAATATTGGCCCTAATAAGTGGCCCATTCATCAATACAGTTCTGAATATAGGTCAACAAGATACTAGTGTACATATAAATGTAATACTACCTATAGCTAGGTCTGAATATTAAACTCCAGCCAAATAGAGCCAGCACAATATTTCAACCTTTGTAACCCTCGCAAAAAGATTTTCTTGCAATAAAAATGTGAAAATAGCTTAGGGTACTTGTAAGCCAATCTGATTTTAAGGTAGATATGTCTCGATATTTTTCATTAATTTTCATGATTATAAATACCGATAATCAATGAAAGGGACAATATTTTCACATTTGTAATTGTATGTGTATGCATGGTCCATGGTGTATGTTACCATAATTCTTTATATCCACTTAAAATGTCAAAAATATTGCCCAATTTATAATTATCAGATAATTTATTCATCACCAAAATAAGTAAAAATTATCAACATGCAGAACTACCTTAAAGAGTTTAATCTCTCACTCGGTCACAATCATGTCAACCAAAACTGTACTTGTATTACATAATATAGGATTATACAGCTTACCATACGTGTGCAATCCATATAGCATCCACACTGACATCTTTACAGAATCATATATAATTTTTGAATATAAACTAACTCAACCCAATAAGGTGAGTACAAAAGAATTTACTTACCTGCCATCTAAAAATCTGCTTGGAACTACCATTGGATTACCATTGGATTCCTCCAAGAGAATATTCTAGGGATTAGGGAATGCATTCAGCTTACATAATTTGAGAAATTATTGGCATACGTAAAACCTATTTAAAACAGCATTTATCATATTCAAAAGCGTTGAGCATCATTGATTCCCAGCCCTCTGAAGATTGAAAAATAAAAATACCTGGGTGTTAATCCATGGATTATCTTTGACAATGAGAAATATATTTTTGGATTACATGGTGTAATCTTAAAGTAAACAAAATGTTTTAAGGTGTATTGATGTTTTTTGGATGAAAAACATAAGCGAAATTCATGAAAAAAGTCCCCCGATTCATTCTACAAACAACTCGCCCTCCTTTCATCAAACCCCCCTTAAAATCAAACCAAGGGGGTATAAATCTGCATACTATAGTAACCAGTGAACCAACACTGATGAAACTTTCCATGATAGTTAAACATAATGATGTGAATAATATCTGTGAATATCATGACAATTGGTTACTTATTTTCTTCAAACATTTGGACACAAATTAAGAATTCTTTGGAAAAGTTCCACGTCCCCTTTCAAAATTTATTTGCATTGCCATACAATCATGAACAATAGATTTCACTGTGTGGATAAGATAAAACAGCAGTTGATTTAATATTATCAAACATACTCTGAACAAGTTTTCTAAAATGGTTCCATGGTGATTCCTCCCAATTTCATGAAAATAATATGTGTTTTGTCTCATGGGGTATCTTACATTTTGACGAAAGTGTGTGCTTTTTTAACATATGATCTCCATTTCCATAGCAACCAGTCGATCAAGTTTATTTAAACTTGTTGTAATGGTAGGACATGAGAAGTACATGATTACCTGGAAAAATCAAGATGATTGGCTCTATATTCTAGAAATTATATATGGCTTTCCTAGTACCCCCCTTAAAATTACACCAGGGGGGTATAAATCTGCATATTTCCAAAACGCTGAAAAACTAGACACCAATGTTTTCAGAATCAATGTAGAATAATAAACCACAAATAACCTACATAAGGAGAAATTTGCTACAAAACCACTTTTACACCACGCTCATCCAGTATTACTGATTGGGCTGAAATGTGATAAACTGATGCCTATGCGCAGAGGAGCCATGCTTAAGAAAAGAAATCCAAGATGGCAGCTAATTTTAAATGGCGGCCATTTTTGTAAAAATGTAATATTTGATACAGCAAATATCAGTTGACGAATTTGGTTGAAATTTTATATGTTGATGCCAATATGGGAAGTCTGTTCAAGACGAGATTTTCAAGATTGCAACTTTATTTCAAAATGGCCAAGCGATACCTCAAATATCAGTTGACGGATTTGTTTCAACTATTATATGCCAATACCTAGAGACATGAGAGGTCTGCTTAAGAACAGATTTTCATTATTATGACTACTGGATTTCAAAATTGTCGCCATTTTCTAGTAAATCTAACCGAAGTATGCTTGCTATATAGACGTAATTCCAATGTGTTTTTTTTATTGAAAACAATACCTGGAAAAATATTTTCAGATATATTCAGATATTTTTTTTTTTAATTTTTAAAATTTATTTAAAAACATATTGACTTCTATAATATATTCTTACAAAGTATATTTTACACACTCACTCCATTTCGGATATTATTCATTGAGATGTTTCAAAGGATGAGTCTGGGAATGAGACTGGGTATCGACTTAGAAAATATTGAAAATTGTAATGTCTGAAAAACAAACTCAATCACACAAATTATTACGCTTCAATATCTTATCCTTCTTCTGAGATTACAAAAATATCAATTTGTATCACAATTGGTGAAGAATATTGGCATCAAAGACAGTGCATATCACTTTGTCAGAATTGAAAAAAAATCAATGGCAAATATTAAAGAATTATTTATACAAAAAGTTTGAAACATATCCTCCAAAACATCGCTTCCTTTCTTTGTATAGACATTGAATGGTGTTTCTGGATAAGTGAATTGGTGTCTATCTGGGTAATCGAGGGATTATAGTCACTCAAAATTACTGAGCATCCAGATTTGAGACTTGAATTGTGTTGGTGAAATTACACATATTTCAGTCAAATTCATGCTGAGCACAACATTTTGGTTTCAATTTTATAATCCCTATCGATGACCCTGGTGATGAA